CCGATATTTTATGGGGGAGAAACCGTGTCTCTCTTTTTCCCACAAAACTCCTGGCACTGATTTTTTATGGGGGACAAACCGTGCCTCAGTTTCCCACTGAACTGGGCTGAAGGAATCGCTGGGATGAGCGGGAGGAGGGAGAATTCTCTCAATTCCAGCACCCAAACATTCCCAAAATTCCCAGGAAGGAGGAGAAAACCCCTCAGCTGGGTTAATTAATAATAATCTGATATTTAATATAACTAATATTTAATATAACCTGTCTATAGGAATAGATAAATAACCTCAATAATAGATAAATAACCTCAAACAGGGGCTGGGTTAATTAATTAATAATAACCTGATATTTGATATAAAATAACCTCAATAATAGATAAATAACCTCAAACAGGGGCTGGATTAATTAATTAATAATAACCTGATATTTAATATAAAATAACCTCAATAATAGATAAATAACCTCAAACAGGGGCTGGGTTAATTATTAATAAACTGATATTTAATATAAAATAACCTGATATTTGATATAAAATAACCTCAATAATAGATAAATAACCTCAAACAGGGGCTGGATTAATTAATTAATAATAACCTGATATTTGATATAAAATAACCTCAATAGTAGATAAATAACCTCAAACAGGGGCTGGGTTAGTTAATAATAACGTTATATTTAATATAAAATAACCTCAATAGTAGATAAATAACCTCAAATAGGGGTTGGGTTAATTAATAATAACCTGATATTTAATATAAAATAACCTCAACAGTAGATAAATAAACAAGGGTTGGGTTAATTCATCAATAAACTGATATTTAATATAAAATAACCTCTCTATAGAAATAGATAAATAAACTCAATAGTAGATAATTAACCTCAAATAGGGGCTGGGTTAATTAATAATAACGTTATATTTAATATAAAATAACCTCAATAGTAGATAAATAACCTCAAACAGAGGTTGGGTTAATTAATAATAACCTGATATTTAATATAAAATAGCCTCAATAGAAGATAAATAAACAAGGGCTGGGTTAATTCATCAATAAACTGATAATTAATATAAAATAACCTCTCTATAGAAATAGATAAATAAACTCAATAGTAGATAATTAACCTCAAATAGGGGCTGGGTTAATTAATAATAACCTGATATTTAATATAAAATAACCTCAATAGAAGATAAATAACCTCAAACAGGGGTTGGGTTAATTAATAATAACCTGATATTTAATATAAAATAACCTCTCTATAGGAATAAATAAATAACCTCAGTAGCAGATAAATCACCTCACATGGGAGTAAGGTTAATTAATAATTACTTGATAGCTAATAGATAGAGATATATGGATATATAGATATATTGATAGAGAAATAACCTCAATAATAGATAAACAAATAACCTCAGAGGTTGTGTTAATCCATAAATAACCTCATAAACAGTCGATTAATTATCTCAATATATTAATTGGATAAAAACCCTTTAAGAATAGATAAATACCCTCAAGCAGAGGCTGGGTTAATTCATCAATATTCTCATGGAATATAGATAAATATTCTATAGAATATGTAGCTATAATATAGAATATATATCTGTAATATAGAATATAGAATATATAGAATATAGACTAGATAGACTAGATAGACTAGATCGAATATATAGAATATATAGAATATATAGAATATATAGAATATATAGAATATAGACTAGATAGAATATAGACTATATAGACTAGATAGACTAGATCGAATATATAGAATATATAGAATATATAGAATATATAGAATATATAGAATATAGAACATAGGTAATATAGAATATATAGAATACAGAACAGATAGAATATATAGAATATAGACTAGATAGAATATAGAATAGATAGAATATATAGAATATAGAATAGATAGAATAGATAGAATATATAGAATATATAGAATATAGAATATATATAGACTAGATAGAATATAGAATATAGAATATATAGAATATAGAATATATAGAATATAGACTAGAGAGAATATTTAGAATATAGAATATATAGAACACAGAACAGATAGAATATATAGAATATAGAATATATAGTATATATAGAATGGATAGTATATATAGAATATAGAATAAATAGAATATATAGAATATAGAATATATAGAATATAGACTAGATAGAATATATAGAATATATAGAATATAGAATATATTGAATACAGAACAGATAGAATATATAGAATATAGAATATATAGAATATATAGAATGGATAGTATATATAGAATATAGAATAAATAGAATATATAGAATATAGATATAGATAAAATGTAGAATAGATTAATAACACCAATACATTAACAGATAAATAACCTCAAGAATAGATAAATACCCTCAAATTGAGGTTGGGTGAATTCATTAATAACCCAAAAGATCAATAACCTCAATGTATGAATAGATAACTATTAATTATATATTAGTATATTATCTATACTATTATATAATTAGATAATAGATCAAGAATCTCAACGTATGAATAGATAATTATTAATTATATATATTGTTATATTATCTATTCTATTATATAATTAGATAATAGATCAAGAACCTCAATGTATGAATAGGTAATTATTAATTATATATTAGAATATTATCTACTCATATAATTAAATAATAGATAAAGAATCTCAATATATGAATAGGTAATTAATTATATATTAGCATATTATCTACTCTATTATATTATTAGATAATAGATCAAGAGCCTCAATGTATGAATAGATAATTATTAATTACATATTAGTATATTATCTACTCTATTATGTAATTAGATAATAGATCAAGAACCTCAATATATGAATAGGTAATTAATTATATATTAGCATATTATCTACTCTATTTATATAAATACTCTATAATTTATATATAATATATATTTATATATAATATATAATTTACATATATAAATTATATAAATTTATAAATATATAAATAATTTATATAATTACTCTATAATATATAATTAGACAATAGATCAAGAACCTCAATGGATGAATAGGTAATTAAGTATATATTAGTATATTATCTATTCTATTATATAATTAGATAATAGATGAAGAACCTCAATGGATTAATAGATAATTAATTATATATTATTATATTATATACTCTATTATATAATTAGATAATAGATGAAGAACCTCAATGGATTAATAGATAATTAATTATATATTATTATATTATATACTCTATTATATAATTAGATAATAGATGAAGAACCTCAATGGATTAATAGATAATTAATTATATATTATTATATTATATACTCTATTATATAATTAGATAATAGATGAAGAACCTCAATGGATTAATAGATAATTAATTATATATTATTATATTATATACTCTATTATATAATTAGATAATAGATGAAGAACCTCAATGGATTAATAGATAATTAATTATATATTATTATATTATATACTCTATTATATAATTAGATAATAGATGAAGAACCTCAATGGATTAATAGATAATTAATTATATATTATTATATTATATACTCTATTATATAATTAGATAATAGATGAAGAACCTCAATGGATTAATAGATAATTAATTATATATTATTATATTATATACTCTATTATATAATTAGATAATAGATGAAGAACCTCAATGGATTAATAGATAATTAATTATATATTATTATATTATATACTCTATTATATAATTAGATAATAGATGAAGAACCTCAATGGATTAATAGATAATTAATTATATATTATTATATTATATACTCTATTATATAATTAGATAATAGATGAAGAACCTCAATGGATTAATAGATAATTAATTATATATTATTATATTATATACTCTATTATATAATTAGATAATAGATGAAGAACCTCAATGGATTAATAGATAATTAATTATATATTATTATATTATATACTCTATTATATAATTAGATAATAGATGAAGAACCTCAATGGATTAATAGATAATTAATTATATATTATTATATTATATACTCTATTATATAATTAGATAATAGATGAAGAACCTCAATGGATTAATAGATAATTAATTATATATTATTATATTATATACTCTATTATATAATTAGATAATAGATGAAGAACCTCAATGGATTAATAGATAATTAATTATATATTATTATATTATATACTCTATTATATAATTAGATAATAGATGAAGAACCTCAATGGATTAATAGATAATTAATTATATATTATTATATTATATACTCTATTATATAATTAGACAATAGCTCAATAACCTCAATGGATGAATGTATAATTATTAATATTATTATATTATCTACTCTATTATCTAATTAGACAATAGCTCAATAACCTCAATGGATGAATGTATAATTATTAATATTATTATATTATCTACTCTATTATCTAATTAGACAATAGCTCAATAACCTCAATGGATGAATGTATAATTATTAATATTATTATATTATCTACTCTATTATCTAATTAGACAATAGCTCAATAACCTCAATGGATGAATAGATAAAAAGCCCTAATAATGAATTTATTGGGTGTGGTTTCCATGACGGAGCCCTGGGGATTTTTGGGGAAATGGGGAAGGGAATCCCTGGGAATGTCCCGAGGTGCAGAGGTGGGAACTGCTCAGAAATGCATTTCTGGGTGTCCCCAGCCCGGTACTCACGATGGGGGTTCCAAAGGGAATGTAACCTGGGGGAGAAAGAGAAATTCATCAATTGTAATGGCATTAATTGGAATTTTAATTGGAATTGGAATTGGAATTGGAATTGGAATTTTAATTGTAATTTTAATTGTAATTTTAATTGTAATTTTAATTGTAATTGTAATTTTAATTGTAATTGTAATTGTAATTGTAATTGTAATTTTAATTGTAATTGTAACTTTAATTTTAATTGTAACTTTAATTGTAATTGTAATTGTAATTGTAATTTTAATTGTAATTGTAATTTTAATTGAAACTGTAAATTGTAAATTGTAAATTGTAAATTGTAAATTGTAAATTGTGAATTGTGAATTGTGAATTGTAAATTGTGAATTGTGAATTGTGAATTGTAAATTGTGAATTGTGAATTGTGAATTGTGAATTGTGAATTGTGAATTGTAAATTGTAAATTGTAAATTGTGAATTGTGAATTGTGAATTGTGAATTGTAAATTGTAAATTGTGAATTGTGAATTGTGAATTGTGAATTGTGAATTGTGAATTGTGAATTGTAAATTGTAAATTGTGAATTGTGAATTGTGAATTGTGAATTGTGAATTGTGAATTGTGAATTGTAAATTGTGAATTGTGAATTGTGAATTGTGAATTGTGAATTGTGAATTGTGAATTGTGAATGAATGTCCCTGTGCAGGAGAAAGCCCAGCCTGGCACATCCTGCATCTCCACCTGATGCTCCATCCTGCAGCCTCCTCCTGCTTTCCCCACCCTGCATTTCCTTTTAAAGCTCCCCAAAGTCTTTTCCTCCAATTTTATTGAGCACCACGGAAATCAAACTCCTCGTGTTCCCCCCCTGCTGCCAATCCCTGTGCTAATTATAATTCATCTCTGATTTCCACTGCAGGCTCTCAGAGCATTCCCCAATATTGCTGAATTCCCTTCCTGGATCCAAAATTCAACCAAAAAGACCCGAGAGGAAGGAAAATTGGGAAGATAAATACAGGACAAGGCAGCAGAGCAGAGGCTCCTGTGTCCCCAAAGAACTGAGCCCTGCTGATGTTCCCTGGGGCCCAGGCAGCTGAAAATGTTGCACCCAAGCCCAAGGATTAATTAATTTAATATTTTAAATTAATATTTTAATAGTTTAATATTTCAGATCTGCTGGGAAATGCTGTGCTGGTGCTCCCAGGAGAGCTGCTGGGGACCTGGGGACAGTGGGACACCCCAGAGAGGGGAGGAGGCAACTTTTAATCATTAAACTCATTAATCATTAAAGCTCATTAAGGCACAGAGAAGCTGCTCCTTCCTGGAATCCCAGTGCCAGGGCTGTTCAATACCATAACAGGTGGAAAAACAGGGATCATCCCGTTCTTTTTTGGGAATAAACCCTCCCCAGCCCCCTCCTCTTCAGGCACTGAGGATGGATCAAGCTGTGGGCAGCGAGTTTTGTCATTTACTGCAAAATGAAAATGCTCCCAAACTTGACAGATCCCTCAAAAACGCCAGAAAAGGCTCTGGATGGGGCTCAGGTAAAATAGGAAGTGTCTTTCCATGAGGAAAGGGGAGAGAAAAAGGGGAAAAGGAAAGGGGGGAAAAGGAAAGGGGGGAAAGGAAAGGGGGAAA